TTCGCGCGCTCATTTCGCGCGGGTGATTCGCGCGCTCGCTGAACGCCTGCTCACGTAACTTGTACGTCGCGAATCTTATTTCCGTTCGAGATGATTACTAACCGCAACTAGGAGTGAGTCACCGATTTTTTGGCAATACGCGCTTCGTCCATTCCCTGTCAGTGCGAATTTCATAGGCGAACGAATGGGTGCCGAGGTGTATTCAGGAGTACAGGTCGACTCGAAAGTTTTTCAATCGACGGATAATCAAAAGTTGCGCCAGCTTCGCGGCGAAGTACATTAGAAAATTAGCACGTGTCCGGCGTGCATTTGGCATTCTCTTAAAAACGCCGATGAAAAAGCCGCGGCGCGGCAGAGCTCGCTGAATCCGATGTAACCTCCCCTCCCCAAAGCGAGCAAGAAGAAAGAAAAAGAGAGGCCGAACGTACGTCTCTCGGCGACAACGACGCGTCCAGCGTCGCGCATCCACAACTACACGTCTCGTCGAGAATAGCCGGTAAAAAATATCTCAAGCCACGCGTGCGCTCCGACGCGCACGTGAAAATAGTTTCTCAATGAGACGCGGCGCTCGGCTCTCGTCTCTCCCGAGCGGCAGCAAGGCGGAGGCGAAATTTCACGTTTTTGCGCAATTATTGACCGCACCGGCGCGTTAACTATACCTGGAGCGCGAGTAACTCGATCGCTTCGCGCCGGAATAACGGGGCCTCTGGCGTAAAAATTCTGGATTGTTTTTGACGGACGCGTTAATCGCCCGGCTCGGATCTCCGTCGACTCGCTCTTTGAAGTTTGTCGCGCAATTGCGCAGGAAATAGCGCGCGTCGATCGCGGCGGGCGAGGGGGTGGGGACGAGCGAATCCTATTTTTCGACGCGTCGGAGCTTTATCGGCGCGCGCGTGCGGCGCGTGCTCCCACACGCGAATCTCGATGGGCTCGGTCGTTTTGGCACTCGCCCCCCTCGTCGGTGGCACTCGTTGCGCGGGAAATAATGACGACGAAAAAACAAAAGGAAATCAGGACGGTACGCGCGCCCACTTCGCGCCGGGCGTTGCACAATGCGCCGCCGTGATAAATCTCGTGGCCGCACGCCCGTGCGAAAAACAATAATTGCCCGGCCTAGTTACGCATTTAGTTAGGCGCGCGTACTCGAGGCGGGACATATGCCAGACGGGCGTTTTCGCGAGACGCGAGCGATGATAATTGGCCCGCGTCGGGCCCCCCTTGGATCTCTCGCGCGCGACCGGAGAACGCGACGCAGAAGGCAAGGGTCGTCGAGCCGCGGCGATTAGACAAGCGTCGCGCACAATGAGCGCTGCTTGAGGCCCACGCGCGACGAACGCCGAGGGATATACGCGCGCAATTCGCTTTGTAGTTGCGCTCGCTTGCGCAACGCCCGGCGCACTGTAACGCAACGACTTTGAATAGTCCGATTATTCAAATCGCGCGCGAGCGACAAAAATCATTGTCTATTTATAAAAGGCCTGCTCGACGCGAGCTCGCGCTTTTACTAAGGATTCGCTGTTCGCGCGAATGGAGACGTATTAGGAGCAGCGACGACGAGTGTGCCCCGCTCATCCTTGTCGCCCGGACGTTTCATGCGCTGCGACCGCGCGAATTCCCGCTAATCGAATTACTAATGAAGCGAAAAAATTGCATTAGAGTGGCGAGTCGACGGCGGGGGCAACGGAAATTCGACGATTCGCGCGGCCCAGATCGCCAGGCGCACCTCGCGCTCGCGGCGTATCAGCTCCGACGAGATAAGCGTTTGTTAATAAACAAACGCGGAAAGACGCCGCTCCGGGCAATTAGCCATGCAGCGGCTGGCGTCAGCGGCGAAACACGATACCTCTCTCTCTCTCTCTCTCTCTCTCTCTCTCTCTTTCAGTGCATCGTCACGTGCTCCCATATTCGAGACGGCCCAGTAGCTTTACAAAACTCAAGTGCTTGCCATCTGTCGCCCGACGCCGCCTGCTTCTCTCGAGCTGCTTACGCGCTAATGGGATTGTTAGCTTCCAAGTTGGTGCGAGCCGCTTGCGTGTACTTAGCGCAGATGAACTTCATAAGCTTTATCGAGGAATGAGAAATTGAGATGCTCTGTTGCTTCCGCCAAGCTAAAACTCTTCCAACAATCCCATCAAACATTAATGCAACGTAGATTTGTGCCCCGCCGGGCGACGGGAAAATTCCTTTTAATTAGGTCAGAAGTTGCCATGGGAATTCGTAACTTTACCTTTCCCAAGTCCCAACGCGCTTCCTCTTCTCGTCGTGACTTTCCTGATCAATGCAATGACAAATAGCAATCACCGATATAAATAGACTTTCCAATGCACAATTTCGTTATTTCTTTCCTGTCGCAACGCAGCGCGTTCGCCTGCTTCGTGTTTTCAAGGTTCAACCAGCTCCGCGCATCGAGGGGACAGAGAGGAAGCTCCTCGATCCAAGCAGACCTGATAAAATATACATTTCGCGCGTCGACGCGCGCAACCGTGCAATTTGCCCACGAGCGCAATACGCGCGAACGCGTTGCACCGCCAAATCGCCTTCTTCGTCGACCTGCTCGCCAAGCAAACGGCAGTCCACGCCTCCCCCACGGGAGAATAGTCCAGCGCGCGCCCGCGCTGCCCACCCAAGCGCCGAATTCGCAAGCTCGCGAGGCAATTACTCGGGGGTCTCGCGCGTCGGTAATGAAGCCTCGGCCACGTCGGAAATCGAGATATTCTATATTTGCGGGCGCCAAAGCCGACCTACATTTCGGCTCGCGCGCCGCCGCGCGGCGAAACAGGTGCATCGCAGATACAATAATAGCGAGTCGCTCCCTGCACTGGATCGGAGGCGAGCCGAGAGAAGAGAAAAAAAAAGTCCCTAAACTCGGCGCGTATGCTTTCGTAACGGGCGCGCTATCACATTTTTATTTTGGAAAGCACATGAAGATCGGGAGTCGGTGGAGGGGGTAGCGTTTCCCAATTGCCTCCGCGTACCTTGCTCTTTCTTTTTCTTCTTTCTCTCTCTTTTCGGCCAAGTGCAATGGGCCTTTAATTTTAGAAGCGTGTTAAATATACACTTCTAATGATTTCCCTAGCCGAGCGTAGCCTCTTTTACGCGCGGCACGCCTTGACAACATTTCTCTATTGTTTGTAAAACAGTCCAACGCACGCGCTCGAAATTTATCGGAGTTTCGATTGAAGTGTGGAAATTCCTGCGCTCGCTTTTCTCCACCTTCTGCGATTTCAATCGCGCGCGCGAATTATATTTACGTTCTTCGACGTCCGGTTCGCGACGAGTGCGTCAGTCCCGCGGATTTTTTTCTTTGTTATTTTCTTGCTTTTTCACGTTAATAATGCCATTTCGAAGCTTTCGTTAGGAAACACGTTTTTCGTCTTTCCAGTTTTCTCACTCGGCGCGAATGGAAGATCGTTGTCGAGCTCCATGAACGCGACGTTTCTCGAAATGGCAAGTCACGTTCTCGGATTCAAACGAAAAAATTCAGACGCAGCGTGTCCCGTTGCACGCATCTGTCTAGCTGAAAATCGCCGCCAGAGACGGACCGCTGGTGCCATCCGGTAGCGTCCGCCGCGAGCGCGGCCGTGCCGACAAGGTGGATGCCTGTTGCGAGCCACTTACCGACCGTCGTCTCTGCAGCTCCGCAAGCTCGGTGGAGCATTCCGAGCGACGGATCGCTCCGACTGACAGCTCTCACCAAACATTTCGATAACACGCGATCTGTCAATTAGCCGCAAACCAATCATCATTTCAATCTTCGTTACTCGGCGGAAATTGATAACTCGAGCGCAATCGACGCGCAGCCACGCGCCCGCGGTTGGTTTGTCGCGTCGTCGAGATAAGAGAAGAAAGCTCGCTGACGTATAGCGACATGCCTCGAGACCTCGACTGTCAAAGCTCAAGAAGCAAAGTCCTCGGGTGCACGTGAGGCCAAGAAGTTGTGTAGATTGGCATCGGACGCTGCCGCGTGCGCGCGCGCCAGAGAGAGAGAGAGATAGAGATGGAGAGTTGGAACCAGGGCGGGTACAGTTGTATATTAATAGCAATGCGTGTGTCGTCGCTGGCTCCCGAGGCGATCGAGGGAGCTGTTTAGTCTGTCGCGCGATCTCGAGAGCGGGAGAAGGAGGAGGATGACGATGAGCTGCTGCTGCTGTTGCTGCTGCTGGCGGTGCAGCTGACAATGGCACACCTGCGCCGACCTGCCAGGCGCGAGCATTACAAGCCCTTCGGCGCCAGGCGCAAGGTAAAGCTGAGCTTGCAGTGTGCCCTCCCGCGCGTCTCGCTGCTTTTCTTTTCTCCGCTTTTTCTTCCGCCCGAGACCGCCAAGTGCAAGATACAATGTTAATCTAATTACCGCATCAAGGCAAGACCTCGCTCTGTCTCCCTCCCCCCCTCTCTCTCTCTCTCTCTCTCTCACTCGCGCGCTGATGATGACGATGCACGCAACAGACTACGTATCGCTCTCGCAGGCCACGATCGATCTTGCTTTGTTGTTCTGTCCCGCGCTCCTTGTCTCGCTCGATCGACGAAATCGCCTAGTGAAAGTCCGAGAATAGCTCGGCACACCGTCCATTCGGCGTGTCGACGGCGAGCTTGCAAGACGAACGGCTACAGGCGCTCGTCGCAAGCGTGCAGCCGTTGCCTCGCCTCGTCGGATGCACGCGCGCCACGAGGCGACCAGCTAAAAATAATCTCGCCATCTCCGAAAAGCTCTCTCTCTCTCTCTCTCTCTCTCTCTCTCTCTCTCTCTCTCTCTCTCTGGGTCGGCACGCTGATGCGGCGCGCGAGGGGAAGGATGCGGAAAAATACGGGTCAGCAGCGTCTTCTCCGTCGGGTGCAACGGCACCGAGCGTCGCGCGAGCGTGTGCGCCGCCAGGCTGCCTCGGCGGGATCGATATGTGGATGTCCTCCCTCTGGCGGCCGAGTCATCGTCCGTGCTGGCTCACGCAGGCGCCGCCGCCGCCGCCGCCGCCGCCACCACCATCGCCGCCGTCGTCGCCGTAGTCTCGTACATACGCGCTATCTCGCGTAGTCGTCGCTGGAGCGCGGACCAGTGGTTGCGCAGGGCCCGCGTCGCGTGCGAGTGAGTTGCGTGTTTACACTGATGGCCTGCAAGCGCAAGCGGCGGAAACGGCATGAGACTGCCTGAGCACCGCCGCCGGCCCCAAGATGATTGGATACAATCAGCACAACTCCGGCTACAACAAGCTCTTCACGCAGGCGAGTAGCGCGGCGTGGCGCGCCGACCGCGACCCCCTTTTTTCTCTGTCTGTCTCTGTCTCTCTTTCTCGCCCTCGCGCGCGCGCGCACACACACACACACACACACACATACGTGGACACGCAGCGGTAAACGGAGGGAATGAGGGAAGAGGAAAATAATGTAAGACACGATCGATACGAGACACACCGTGCGTGCGCGCGCGCGTGTGTGTGTGCGGGCGGTGATGAACCTTGAATTGATCGGCCGGCCGTCGACGAAGACCACGACGACGTCGTCGTCCCCCGCGTGAACCGTGGCAGACGCGGACGCGGCGGGCGAGGCGAGTGAACTGCTCGTTCTATCTGTACCCGTCGTTGCCAAGGCGATCGCGGTCGCTTGCTGCGGATTTTCCGCGTCGCAACAAGTTCGCTCTCCTGCAAGCTCTCGCCTTGCGTACGTGTCCGTGTCCATGCGTGTGAATTAGTGATGACCAAGAATGCGCGCTACTCGATTGGTTGCTCGGACTTTAGAGCTTTGCTTGCCGCCCGCTGTTGTTTTGTCTTTCCCGCTGTGTGTGTGTGTGTGTGCGCGCAGAGCGGCGCAGGTGAAATTGTTTCGCTGCTGCTCGTAGCTATCGAAACGAGAGCAGAGAAAGAGGGAGTCTAGCTAATGGTGAAAATGTGGGCTGGCGGCGGCGGAGAATGTATACGGAGTTTACGTCGCGCAGCAGGAGTTTCTCTCGGCCACCTAATTATATCTTTTTCAAAAGTCGGGACAACGTAAACAGAGGCCCGCGAGCTTCGCGAAAGCCGCGGACGAGCTTTTCCCTTCTTCGCCCAGCTCGCTTCCTACCTTATCAACCGCGTGACTCGCGGGCGTAAAGTCAAACGGCAACGTAAACACGCCGCGGCTTCGCGCTCGTCTCTAGCCTCAAAAGCTCGCGGCGGATAAATATAAAGCTCGGCGAACGCGCTCGGCTATCGATTCGCCGTGACGCGATCGGAGAAAATTGATCAGTCGCGAACGAGAGAAGGGCAGGCACGAAATGAAAAAGCGCAGGCAGGCGATGCGGTTAGTCGATCGGCGGAGTCGGAGCTCGCATGGAGGCTCGCTGCTGCCGCCGCCGTTGTCGAAGATGGACCTGCCTGCCGCTGCGCCTCGTGCGCTGCTTCCGCGTCGCGCCGATCGCTACCCCCGAGCCACGGCTCACCTCGAGTGAATGCTACAATGTACGTGCTTCGCACGCTCTCTCTCTTTCTCCGATTTCTTTTTCATTTTCATTCTTTCTAACGTCTCGTTCGATCGACAGTGAACGAAGTGACGTTATCCAGTGCAACCGAATGCCACATGGCTGCGAGATCATGGCATTGAAAGCTCCGTGGGGAGGAAGGGAGGAAAAGAAAAGCAAGTTTATAATAAGCTCTCGTCGCACGATGACACTTTTTTTCTTATACCCCTGCAGGGTATTTTTTTCGCGATTCCATCAACTCCCGAGTCAATGACGGAGGAAAAATCTATAAAATGACGCCGTGCCGTCGTAAAATAAAAGCAAATAAACCAGCCGGCCGAAGCTTTAGCTGGCGGCAAAACAGGAAAAAGTGAATTTCGCCTTGACGACCGACAGAATAGAGTCTTGAAAAAGCCTTCCTTTCTAGGTCGCCCCGACGTGCACGGGAGTTGCATGACAATCCGCATTAGTTTCGCGGGCGACCGTCCGGTCTCCTCGGATGTATATCTGTGTTATAACGTGGCGAAAGGGACCCCCGTGCCGCTGGCCGTCTATAAGTGGCGCGCATTCCTGGCGCGCGACCTTCGTAATAAAATAAAGGGTGTAAAAATACGCCGCGCGGCGGATGGAAATGCTGGCCTCGCGACTCCGGCGCTGCGGCAAACCGAGCGCGCAACGCGCCCCCCCCCCCCCCCACCCGAGTACGACAGCGAACGAATCGCCTACTCTGAACGAAGCTTGAAATATTGTTACAGGGCTCGGCAGACTCGAACTACTCGCAGCCGAGCTCGGATCTCTCGCTGGACGAGGAGAAGGAGAGCTTGCGCCGCGAGAAAGAGAGGCAGGCCCTCAATCAGCTTGACAAAGCCAGGGTAAGTGTCTGGCGTGCGCGCGCTGATCGGGCGCGAGAGAGGCAAGTGCCGGATGAGCGAGCGCTGCTGTTGTTGTGTTGCGCAGACGAAGCCGGTCGCGTTCGCAGTGCGAACAAACGTCAGCTATGACGGCTCCATCGACGACGACTCGCCCGTCCACGGATCCGCCGTCAGCTTCGAGGTCCGCGACTTCCTCCACATCAAGGTAAGCTGCGCCGCGCGCCGACCGGACGCGCTCCCTCGCGGCTGTCGACCGCCGGCAATGCGCTTCCGCGGACGTGGGCGTTGCCGATCTGTGCAGGCGCGAGTCGATAGCGGGCGCTCCGGCCAAGCGCATTGTCTAGGCGTCGACAGGCCGAGGCGGCCGCGAGCGCGTCGCGTCGGCTCTCAGCGGATAACCAATAACGAAACGTTGCATTGGTCCGCGGCTGCTCGGCGAACATCGAAGGAGAAGTACGACAACAACTGGTGGATCGGGCGTCTGGTGAAGGAGGGCTGCGAGGTGGGCTTCATCCCGTCTCCGGTGAAGCTGGAGGCGCTGCGGGTCCAGGCGAGCGCGGCACGCGGTACCAAGGGCATCTATACGAGCGCGCGCGGAGGGTCTTCGGGGAACCTTGGTGAGAGCGGTATGCCCTCACGAGGTTCCACACCGCCCACACCAGGTGTGCGATTGATTGCCACCAGTCTGATCAGTTGGCCGTTTTACTTACTTTTTTGCCAACGACAACGGATACTTAACTTTTCGTTACTTCTTCTAAAAACGCTGATCGGCCGGCGGCTGCGTACCTCAGAGAAAGCTCATCTCTATCTCCACGCTCGATTGCAAGCTCGCGCTTTCTCTGCCGTATCGGTCGCCGTCAAGCGCATATTGTTGATGATTCTGTGTATTTAATCTGTATATGTAACTATATATTATTATTATTATATATTGTCTATGTATTACTACTTGTCTATTATATATACATTTGCTCTTTGTCGAATCTCTCGAGAGATAAGTATAAAAAGCCGTCGAGTATGCCCTCGAAGACCCTCGAGGTAGTTGAAACTTTTTTCTTTCATCATTTTTTTCGTTTCTTTCTCAAATCTTTCTTTCTCTGTCTTTCATTCTCACCCCCCTCCCCCACTCTATTTCTATCTCTCTCTCCGTTGATCGATAGTGGCGATCGATTGCGCGCTCTATGTATTTCCTTCATGTAGAGCCGAGAATCACACTACCATCTCTCCTTTTCTCTCTCACTTTCTTTCTCACGCTGTCATTTTATTTATTTATTTAATATCATTACTCTTCTCAATTCGCCCTACATCTCATCAACGACGACAATTATATCTCTCTCGACACGACGTAATGTTTACAAGTATTAATACTATTGTCTGTGTGCGCGAGTATCACGATGTACTTGACTTTTAGTTTTCTTTGTAACTTTGGCTGGCAATTTTGTTTTTGTCACTAACTCTTAATTACCGGTGACTTGGTGGTTAAAACGAGTATATCTGTTTTTCCTTGCCGGCGCGCTAATCTACTCGATATCGATATTTGATTTCAAATTTACCTGGTAAAAAATAATCCGTCGAGTCTCTTTCGTGCGATGAAGCGCGTAATTGATTTTAGATGGCTACTCGAGCTACAATAGAATCGCGCTGGAATCGTTCGAGGTCTCCTTCGCCCTATCCACCGGACAATACCCCTTTTAATTGGCTTGCGATATTTCCAGACTTGGATTACTTTTTATCAGGATCCGAACGTCCATGTTTGTTTGTGTACTCGATGTTTTATTGATATCAGTGGTTTACATTTGCTGTACTCGTACGTAATACCATGATTCCCCTCTTACATTAATTACCGAGTAATATTTGAGGAAAACAAAGAATCGCATTTTCATGAGATATTAATCAGTAATAATAGCGCAGTGAGTGCTCAGCTCTAACGCAAAATAATTGTAAACGTTACGAGTGGCCATTGGAATAACATTATATCAACAGTCATCATGAAAATGTCACTCTCATTGCTAACCGTACCGGCACTAGTATTTTGGTATTATTAACTGCACATGTAGTTCAGGTAGGCATATCATGTAGTCGTAGTGCATGCTTTTGCCAAACGAGTGTCGAGCGAACGAAAAACATCATAATGGCAATGACTGTTTTCGCTGTCAACGAACCTCCCATGCGAACAGACAATAACTTTTACGAAACTGCAATTTTGCCAAGTGCTAACGCTAGAGCCTCATAGGATTTTTGCGAGCGACATTCAACAATTAGGGATTGTGGAAATTCTTAAACGTGGCGATTGAAAAGTCTGTCTCGGCGCTCGTAGCTTGCTTGGCTTTTAAGGTAGCAGGCACCCTATTGGCTAGCTTGTTTTACGTTTTATTTTTTTTTTTGTCGAGAGCAAGAAGTCGGCGACAAATATGCACGATACTACGGGCAGCTTTTCTGTTATCATCAGGTGACGATAGCGACAGCGTGGGCAACATCCGTCCGGGCAGAACGAACCTGACGACCCCGCCGGCCAAAGAGAAGCGGAAGAACTTTTTCAAAAAGCCGGTAATTGTCGTATCTCTTATTTTCATGTAAATTTGTTAGCCCTGTAACTGATAATATGATTCCCTTTCCCTAGCCCCTAGTTTCCCGGCAACCTTATATGCGTCGTTGCATCTTAGACGGTGCCTGTAGGACGTAGTTTAGTCTTTCTTTTCTTTGTTTTCGTTCATATAACGCATTTTATACCTTACTTCAGGAAAAAATACATTTTTGCTTCGCTCGAATTTTGTCGTAGTCTTAGACGACTTTCTCGCATTTTTATGGACACACTGTATAGAAATCCTAGAAATACTAGAAGCAAACAAAATTGACAGTCGATGACGGTTTATAGAAAATAAGTGTATAGAAAACAGCATTTTCTAAATATTAATATTGAATTTCATTAATAACAATGAAATAATGCCAAATTTAACGACAGGATTTTCTTGACAAAACAACATTTCTAGGATTACCTCTCATCATTTGATTCGGTACAGCCTTACCTGTATTATTTGGAAGTATATTTTGTGCTAAAACGGTGATTATCTTGTATACAAAAGAGATTGCTGAAGTACAAAATTAAAACAAAAATGTCGCAAGCGTAGGTAACAGAGTCGAGTAAAGAAAAAACCTGGTAGAAGTGCCAATAGAACTAGAGTTCCTAAGTAAACCGTGCTGCTCATCAAGGGACGATTCCGTCAGACGGGAACAAAACCAAAGAACTTTGTTCTCAAGTCCGAAGGATTGTCTCTCTGGTTTCCAGCGCGTTTGAAAAAAAAAAAAAAAAATAATCTTCAATATCTGACGATTAACCGATGAATTTTTTTCAATGTTTTCCCCCAACTTGATTCACGTCTATCGTGTGTGCGAACCGAAGTCCTACGTAAGTCAGATCACAAATCAGCTGGGTTGTATATTTGGAGAGTTGTAATTTTTTTTGCTAGTCTTGATAGTCGATTAATTGTTGTTTTGCTGCGTAGAAATCGAAGCTGGAACCGAGCGATACTGATCGAACGATAATTGCAGGAAACGGCGACACCCTACGACGTGGTTCCCTCGATGAGGCCCGTCGTCCTTGTGGGACCATCTCTGAAAGGCTACGAAGTTACCGATATGATGCAGAAGGCGCTTTTTGACTTTTTGAAACATAGGTTCGAGGGAAGGTAAGGCACGCTTGGATCGACGTCGAGTCTATTTTCGCATCATGTTCCTCCTCGTTTCGCTGTCGCAGAATCATCATAACGAGGGTAATGGCGGATATTTCTCTGGCCAAGAAATCCTTGCTGAACAATCCGACCAAGAGAGCAATCATGGAGAGGTCGACGAGTAGGAGTAGTTGTTTGCAGGAGGTGCAGGCTGAAATCGAGAGGATTTTCGAGCTCGCCAGAACGCTCCAGGTTCGTATCGAACGACCGTTCGTTTCGCTCGCACGGGAGTTTCGCTGACGTCGAAGCGAAGAGTCACACCCGACACAAACTCCATTTGGTTGCAATAGTTTTTTGATCGTAGATCGATACACGCGCATACCTATAGCAGTATGTCGGTTCGTATTTAGTCGCTAACTCGATTTCTGGATGTGTACCCCTATAGTTTAGCATCGCTTGTCGTCGATTATTTACTCGCTCGTTTCGTCGACGTAGCGAGCCGTTGATGGCTTGTGTTTTGTTTGGGCGCCTCGTTAGAGCGGTCGAAGCGTAGCGGCGTAGACGAGTCCGCAAAGAGGGTGGGGGGAAAAAAGCAGAGCACTAATGCGAGCGAAACTTCAGCTGGTGGTGCTGGACTGCGACACGATAAACCACCCGTCGCAGCTGGCGAAAACGAGCCTGGCGCCGATAATCGTGTACCTGAAGATCTCCTCGCCGAAGGTCCTCCACAGACTGATCAAGTCGCGCGGCAAGTCGCAGGCGCGCCACCTCAACGTGCAGATGGTGGCCGCGGAGAAGCTGTCGCAGTGCCCACCCGAGCTGTTCGATGTGATCCTCGACGAGAACCAGCTGGACGAGGCGTGCGAGCACGTCAACGAGTACCTCGAGGCTTACTGGCGAGCGACGCACCCGCCCGTCGTGCCCGCAGTGCCGAGGCCCATGCCCGCGCCCGACTCCTCGGGCGACGGACTGCCGCCGCGCGTCTCCTCGGGTATGTATCGCTCTGCACCTTCGGCCTCATCGCCGACTCGATCATTGTCGCGTCCGCGCTCTGGCGCTCTGACTCAACGAATCTCAAGCGAGCGCCAGCGCTGCCGACGACGAGCGCGCGCTCGATGGATTCGGACGAGAAGCTCGCCACGGAGATTCATTGAGTCAGCGGCAATCCAACGAATCGATCATCCGCCCGAACCTCTTCGCCGTATATCATTAATCAGTCAACAAACAACTATCTTGTCGACTTGTCCACATGTAGCTGGCCACCGCGAGAGTTACTACGGCCACGGGCCACGAGGTAACTAGCCAAAAAAGTTGGTTTTATTGTCGTCGCGCTCGTGCAGTTACAGCCAGTCGATGTGCACGTAGATGTATCGTTTTGTTGACCCGCATGACTAGACAAGCAAGCACGACGAGTATCAGGGCCGATCGTAGCGCCGCTCTTTACTCTCCGTTCAACCAATCAGGGAAATCATCATCGTCACACACTGTGTTTGTTTTTTCAGCTGCGATGTTCGGAGCGTCGGCGCACATGTACTCATCAGCACATTGACAACGTTCGTCACATAAACCTCCGTCTAAAGTTTTTTTCTCTTTTTTTTTTCTTCTTTCTGCTGCATCATCCCCGTTCCCTGATCGCCCATCCAAGAGTACACGCGTGTCATTTCACACACCTCTGTAAGCTTGCTGTGCGCGCCTGTGCACGTAGCTCCTGTTTGTTTCGCTCTTTCTTCATTTGGCGCGAGCACGCGACGTCGCGATTACAATCTCTCTCTCTCTCTCTCTCTATCTATTTGTCAATCTCTCTTTTCCTCTCTCTGTCTCTCCCTTTCTCTCTCTCTCTCTCCCTCTCTCTCTCAAGGGACTGAAGAAGGGAGAGTCTCTCGTTATGCATTACGCGCCGAGCCATCAACGACCGAAATATACAGTCATCAAAGCGAAAAGAGTGTGAGTGCGACGAAATTATCAATGATTTCTTTTGTTGGTAACGAAGCCCTGATGGAACCGCTCGCCGCCACGGGGATCATCCGAAAAGAGGTCAGGCTCACCCAGGACGCACCTAATTGTTGATGACTCGGAGGACCCTCTATACGTGCCTCCGTTACACATATTCTATCTATCTATCTTTGCTTCTCGAGTTTTGTCTTCTTCTTCTTCTTCTTCTTCTTCTTCTTTTCCCAACCCCCCACCCCGACTCTTGTTGTTGAATATAAGTACAGTAGATGTGCAAACAGAGAGAACGAATGGATCTTGTTTCGCAATCGAAACAGAGAGAAAATACGCGCGGTCGTAAGTAACGATGTTATGGGAAACCTGCTGATGAGGTTGTTGCAGAGAGAAATTTTCTTTTGTCCTTTCCCCGCATGTACCAACAACACCACCACCACCACCACCACTGCCGTCGACGTCCGTGCGTTACTTGGGTTCGTCTAGACGTTGGAACGGCGCTTCTCGAGCGTTACACGTCGCTGATTTTGCCGCCCTAATTTTCACCCCGCCTAATTTACCCCTCATGTATCATAGTCTAGGCGAGTTTTGTTTTCAATACCTCTTTTTCTTTTTTTTTTTTTTCTTCGTTTTTGATGTTTTGCCTAGACTAGTCGCAGCGATTTTGCGAGAACAAGCTTCCAAATGAGACGACAAACATTTTTTTATTGTCACTTTTTGATTTTTATCGCGACGCGCTATTTTTCTTTTCATTGAATTTCGTTGCAGTCGCTTTATCTTTACGAGGCTGTTTTTCCGTTTCCGCAGTCCATCGCTATCTGCACGCATTGACATATTTCTTTTACCTTTACGAGCGACTGTGCGTATTTGCATGCTGTTCTGTGTCACAGTACTTTTTCACGTAGTGTGTGGTAGTTTCAGTGTTTATCTCGCAAGTATAATTTTTATGTTCGAGTGTGGCTTGAAAGTGGCTTCAGAGTCATACATAAATGACACGAGTGTGATTTACTAATTTCGCGGGTAATCAGTCCGTTGTGAACTTTATCGTGAACTTGAGATTTTTGAACGAACGAGAGCATACAAAAGTAATTTGGTATTGACGTGGAATGGGCGTGCCAACGGGCGTTTTAAAATTTGTTTTACCATGTACAGCTATTGTCGCGCACAAAGTACAAACAAATCACAAAAGCTCGCATGCAGCAATTGGTGTGACCTAACATACGTGTGTGACACTGTGCATTACGTAAATTTTAATGAATGCGGCAACGGACTCTGCGGCAAAATCCAGTCTCGACTGACGTGTTTTTCACGCGTGCTCCAACAGGTGGCGGAAGCACGTACGGCGGAGCTCGTCGCTCGCGCCTAGAACGCTCGGAGCGCAGCGAGTACCACGAGCACGACGAGGACGAGAGTTACGCCGGCGGCGGAGCCGGCGACAGTTTGCCATCGCGTCGCAGCAGGCAGCAAGCCGCTCTGCAGGAGCCGTACGACATTTAGGAACTGGGGCCCCGGGGTCTACGCTGCCCACATCTGCGCACCACCGCCCTCTGATCACGCGCCCACATCCATTATCTTTCGAGCGAACAACACCGCCACATCTCACACACGCGAATCGGCCAGTGAAGAGGGCCCGCACCTCATCCACTTTTCTTCTTTTCTCCTCCCACACACGACTTGCCATCTCGAGCCACCACGACGACGGGCCGCAACCTCGTACGCGTGCGAAACCACGCAGTGCCAACCCAACCCCTCGACGACAGTCCGATCGCTCTCCCACTTATCTGCATCTCCCTTCTATTCATCACCTCCGATCGACACGTAATGCGCCTACGCCTTGTTTCTCTCGACGATAAGGGACGACGAGACCGACGAACAGCCTGACGGACGGCCATACGCAAGCACAATTACGTATTCATGCGAGCGCATCACGACATTGCTGAAAACAATTTGACACGGGGAAAAGCGAGCAAAATCAATTTCGAAGCCCTGGGGCCTGGTTTTTTCTTTCGGTCGGTCGACGCTATTGAACGACGGACAGAGACGCGCGAATCGTCCCTCCTCTCCAGCGGGCCCCATTTTCCAAGCCGAGAGAAAGAAAGAGGGGTGCGCCGAACACGGGGCTATTGCGATTTAACCACCAACAAATAACACACACACACACACACACACATCCACACACCTATTACACTACACCTTCACGTCGATGATTATATACTATTTAACAAAGTCAAACAGAGGTACACGACGATACACTCAGAAGTAAGCGAGTCTGCCGTTTATAACATTTTAATATATATATAAATATAGTCTATATTCGGAAATTGAACAAAACAAACAACTGCTGGACGCAAGCGGACGCTTTGTCGAACCTTTATTCACGTTCGTGTACATAGTGCGACAATTAAATATATACGTAAATGTGCAAATGTGAGGAGGCCCACTATACATTGTAACTTGAGGATTAAATTTCAATCAATGACATAAAACATTTAAAGAAACAAGCGATGAAGGAATATATACGCAAACACGTACTGAGAAGGAAGATCCGCTATGTCGGCTGAGAGCAATGCCATTTGAAAGCGCGTGCGGAGTACTGTAAATAATGTAAGAAAAGCGAGCAAACATAAGCGTCGCCAGTTCGACTCGGTTAGAATTGCCAAGGATGATAAAACGATAAGTGGCGAATTGTGTTTTTTTTTCTCTATCAGTCCGATCCTTGCCTTTCGGCCGAGCAACGACGTATTATTAATAAAAAAAAAAGTTGTACGATCTCGTTGGCAAAAAGAAAGAAAATACGAAAAAAAAAAAAAAAAATACATTGTTGAAAGAGAGAGATTGAGCGATGATAAATCTGTACTGCGTGTGCTATGCGGATGTGGAAGGTGAACGAAAACTTCATGGATAACTGTGTGAATATTTAAAAGGAACGACTTCGAAATATTGTTTGTCTAAGTCTTTCAATCGTCAAGACTCGTCGCTTGGAGCTTGCAGCAAATTTTAAACGGCGAGCCTCGACGACCGCATATAATATATAATACGAGTTTTAAGCGGCGATCGCGCTTAACAATTCATCATTATTATATGAACCGGAGCAGATTTAAACGACGATCGTGTATAGATGTAAAAAGCCGATGATGTTGAATTATGTCACTAATTGAAGTAAACAAACCTTTTGCACCACTTCTTGTACGAAAAGAAAAATCTTCGATGATCTTTTGACAAACATTTAATATTACCGATGTCTTCAAATACTTTATTGATTCCATGCGCGCCAAGAGGCTCTCAAGTTATATATATTCAGAGCAAGTTGAAAACAACAAACACGCGTCGAGCTTGAACAATGTTTGGGATGATATCGTTATTATTTTCTTTCTTTTCCTCTCATAGACTTGTTAATTCAAGAAAGGTTCAGAGCCTCTGCAGTTTAAGCGAACAGTGCATTGTATTGTATGATTGTATATATATCTCCGAACCCTTGAATGATTAAAGATTTTACTCTCTCCTTGCTATTATCATTAATTTGTGTACTTCCTGCAACTTTATTTACCGCATTTCCCTTGAATTTCACTTGAATGCTTTTTCATTTCGTTTGTCATTTATCGGTCTACCAAAATATTCTTTCGTTTCGCTTTGATTATGTGACCTCCTCGTTGAAAGTGAGCCTGCAAACACGTTGTAAACGGTAAAAAATTATACAAACAAGGATGCTCGTATAACGACTTGAAAAAAAAAAAAAAAATCCAGAAAAATTAATGGGCTAAGATGTTTTTTGTAAAATTTTTGTATTAAAAAATAGGATGAGCGCCGTGTCTTTTAAACTTAACTTCGCGTTTGGGACAACGGCATTACGATGATCCACTTCTGTGAGGTTTTTGAATTCTCATTAAACGAAACAAAGTCACTTTCTTGTAGCGCCGACGAGTGCGTTTGAACGAGCAAAAACAAGCACTACCTTTTGGAAATCTCTACTTTCAAGCTCTCAAGTACATGAAACTTTGTCTAATCAACAGATGATTAACCGACACACGAGAAAAAAATTGCACATCTCGAAATTATGCGTTCAGTGCTCAGTAAAAATAATAGAATACTTCATAGATTTGTCGATCATCAGTGAAAGTATTACGAAAAAAATAAACTAATTATGGATTGAAATAGCGACACGTACACATTAAATTGGTAGTTTTAATGTCGGCAACTTTAGACTACTGCGTAAAACAAAGATTAATTCTAATCGGAGATACCTGCTTTTTTGTCATTTCACTTAAAAATGAAAAAGAATTCGTGCAACATTGTGTAAGATTTAAGTAAAAAGGCGTGCGTAATAATTTTTCTCGCTGTACATTTGTACTGTAAAGAAATCTTAGTCAAATAGCGACTTCAATTGTGGTCTTTGACGAAACTCGTAGGATAAAGTGATTTATCCTACGAGTGAAAATATAACGAAAAAAAAAACAAACAGCAGGCTTCGGAACTAAATATTACTGTCACGATTACTATTTCAATACAAAGTTTAAATTTAAAGAATATTAATAAAATTTAATTGATATCAAGTCAAAATCTCAACTCTCAAAAACTGTACGTTTTTTCTCTTATGTGGTTTCCGAAGCAAAGGGTATTACAATTGTTAAAACCGAGTCAACGGAAAAATATTGAAAGTTGAATTAGAGAATAGAACGTAAAAAAAAACACCTTTTTAATACTATGAGTACCGTTAAATGGGACGGCACGGCGATCGAAGCGCTCATTCTGTACAAATTAGTTGCTTCAAAATGTTTTTCGTCGCTTACCTTTTCACTTTTCATTAATATTGATACGCGCCAAATTGTACGGCTATATTCCCTTTGATAACTTACGAACATGAGCTTTTTTAAAAATTAGCATGAATTTCTATAACTGTATCTTTGACGAAGAAATAAACGTAGCTAAGGTACACTAAGCATAAGCGTGTGAGAAGTAATAATAATACGGTATTTTTGACGGGTCTAAAATTGATGATTATACGTTGAGAGAAAGCGAAATTTCTGTACATGTGTAATAACCACGCGCGAAGGAGGGAGCACGGAAGCACAGATGAAGTCTCAGGGAATAAAATATATATTGCCTCTCTATCTCCACTTTTTCCTTGCGTTTTATTCTTCGCACGCACTTATATAGACGTATAGATAATGAAACAATAAAAAAGATATAAAGGCATAGCGTCCTTGGTTGTTATTCGGCTGGTTCGTTGGATCAACAGACAATTTATTCGCGAGCGCTTCTGCGATTTGTTCTTGTCAATGGTTGCTGTGTGGCGTATCGTTACATAATTATTGTTGCATAAAAAAAAAAGAATAAAAAAGAAAAAACTTGTAATTGTAAAAATTGTGTATTGTGAGAGACTGCGAGTACAAGAGAGCGAGTCAATCGTTGGGGACTTTCACGGAATTGACACGAGTATTTTGTTGCACCACGCGAGGCGACACATTGTTTCGCTGTTATGTGATGTTATTCTATGTAAAAGTATACAATTTATAAATTAAGTAGAGTCTAACAAACCAAAATACGATTTAATGTAAAGTGAATTTAATAACGTTACCGACTCTCTTTTTTCTTGTATTTCACAAAGAAAAAAACACTACTTCACGGCAGACGGGCCGAGGAAAAAAAGTAAATACATGAAACTTGTTGATAGCCAAAAACGTGAGATGCTTTCATCTGTGCGCTGTACTGATTGATGACCATGAGAGAATTATATATATATATATATATATATATATATATATATATATATATATATATATATATATATATATATATATATATATATATATATATATATATATATATATATATATATATATATCGGTATATATATAGATATGTATGTATATCGATGAAATCGGCCCCTCTACGATGAACGGTCGAGATCCAAATTCCTACACTCGTCGCATTTGTAAATAAAATTTTTATCATCACATTACTTTCGACTTATTCATTTTGCCATTTAACGTTCTTTCCTTGATAATTAATCCTTGATCTAATAAATTTGTCCACTTCAACTTACGTCGACTGTTTAGAAAGTTTAGAAAATTGATCGATGTTATAATTATGCTTCTATTTCAAAAGCTAATACTTAAGCCTGTTTTGATTTTTATCTTCTCGTAATAAAAATAAAAAAACCGTTACATACTAATTAAGATGTTTCAACGAAACAAGGTCAGTGAAAAGAAAACGCATTATTTTAAATAAGATATTCACGACATTTAATATTAAAAGGCATATAGCCTCGCATTAATTGTAAGATACAATGTTACAAAAATATTTACACATTAATAAGATATAAATTGTAGTCGTCATACTGAGCAGTCAGTCATTGGTACAAAGACATTATAGATGCGCCTGTTTTTGGTAAACTATATACACTATAATAAGCCGCGATATTCCTCTCGACTGTGGCGAAGCTTCGCCATGGTACAGAGCGTCGTACGTCTGTGCGAGAAGCGAGGTTTCGCTGTGATGAGTACGCAACTACTACGGTCGTGGCAGTGCGCGGAGCGATAATATTTAATCTAGTACGCGTAACCGACATCGGTAATATACGATGCGGCAGTAAGCTTATTTATCTCTTTGGTCGATCGCGCAATTGTATACTTTTTTGACTCGTGTGCGAAGAGAACGAAATGGAACGGGCACACGAAGCGGCATTGTCACAACAAATTATATAGACGCGACATTCTTAAAACGTGATTCTCTGGAGCAACGGTCATTTTTCTCAAGAGGGCTTTCCTTTTTGTTCACTGCCGCGATGCTACGCGCGAAAAATTAATAACTAAGGGAGGGCGAAGGGAGGACATCGATACAAACTACCTTTGGTACACTTTTGTATGCGGAGCTGACTAAAATGATACAATAGTTCTCTTTATCGAGATTAGCCACCTGCTTGAGCGATAATCTACGTAAACGTATAATAGTTTATGTACAAGGTAACGCTGAGAGAGAGAGAGAGAAAGAGAGAGAGAGAGAGAGAGAGAGAGAGAGAGAGAAAGAAATGATACAAAAGAACAAGGACAAAATACTGTTTAAATGAACAAATAGTTCTTGTAGTCGGCGTAGGACTTTGTCGAGATATGTTTTGTTGCCACCGGCGTCGCGGGCAGACTCTTCAACTGCAATTGTTGCTGCTGCTGCTGCTGTTGCTGTTTGTTGCCGTTGTTGCTGTTGTTACTGCTGTTGTTGTTGCTGTCGCTGTGCGGATGGACGTGGTTGTGGCTGTGCACGTGCCCGTGCCGACACGTCAACAGGTTGTTGTTGTTGTTGTTGTTGCTGATGGATTTGGGCACAAAGTAGTGATGGTGATGGTGTGGACTCTGTTGTAGCTGGAGTCGCGACATCGCCAGGGTGATGCTCGAGTCCGATGACCACATGCTCTAAAAACGCGAGAGAGCAATGATTAGAGCCTCGCCGTATTCGTTGCGTGCATGATTGATCGCGAAGCTACGTAGTTGTCCAGGTCAGGGATCCGCAGAGACGTTGGTGTCGTTCGCGTTTTGTCGCCGGATAACCCGTTTGAAAAAGCGATCACCTACCCTTCGCCTGTGTGGATTATAGTCGGGATTGCGCCTGATTCTCAAGTGTCGCTGATCGGCGCTGGCCCATCTCTGAGTGACTTTGAGCGGCGAGTCGTCGGGGTGCAGCTTCCTCTGATACTCCTCGGTCTCGCAGACCTCGTACAGCGAGAACTGCTCGACGCGCTCGTTCAAGTTGTAGCAGCTGAGCAGCATCTGGATGAGCTCGTCCACGGTGGTTTTCTCGGAGATGAGTAGGCTCTTGTACTTGGACTACGGCGAAAGAGGCAAGGAGTTAAGCAGAGCGCAATTTGCCTTGGCGAGCTAAAAGTAGAAGGTGTGTACTCACGCCGGACATGAGCGCGCTGTCGTAGACCTTGACGAGTCCGCCGTGGCGCGTCTTCAGCGAGAACCTGCGAAGAAAGCGCGCGCCGGGCGTTGAGCGGCGAGAGCGTCAAAGCGCCTGCCAATCGGCCGAAGTTTGGCACTTACTTGGAATCGCCTCGCGGATGGCAAAACTGCAGGGCCGCCGGTCGTGCGTCCTCGTCGAGGGCCAGCTCCGTGCGCACGTTCGCCCGGCGCACCGTCACCTCCATCGTCAGGTAGAACAGCCGCGGGTCCCGGTGCCGCATACGAAACTTATTGAGCAGCTTCTGCACCACTTGGCGGCACGTCGTTTCGTACGTGATGCTCAGTGTCTTGTACTCGATGTCCTGGCGGAGGCAGGTCGCGTACACTTTGATCGTCGTCTGCAAGTCAAGCATTTCACGCTCGTCAGCGATTTCCGCTTTGTCGAGCTGTGGGCATTGCCGCCCTTTCGGAAGACGCTGGAACACTTGCACGCGTGAACATCTGCGCGTGCGATCGTGTTCGATTTGCGTCACGATCGCGACGGGCACGTACCGTGTAAGCGTTGCGAGCCCGTGACGAGCGTGTGGGCATGTGCGGAGAGGAAAAAAGGCATCGTCATTTTTAGACGCAGGCGATATGACAAATGCAGGCCCACTTCAGCGGCGCATTCGCTAAACGTGGGCTTCATTAGTCGTCGGCGGCTATTAGCGCCGGAAGCAGAGGGCGGCAAGGAAAAAGAGGGGAGCCGAGTCGTCGCAAATTAGTCCATAATTAAACCTCGCCACGCACGTGCAGTCCGAGGCGTTTCTTTCCCGCGGCGACGTTTCCAAAGCACGCGAGCGGGCTGAAGGGAGGCAGAGAGAGAGAATCGGGCGCGGAGCCGCGTGTACGTGCCGAGCAAGCTAACCAGCTGCTCTCGCTCGGAAGCTCGGCTTACCCTCGTTGCGCACGTTCGCGGCGATCGGTCCCTCTCCGCGAGCTCGAGATGCGCGCGCGCGCGCCTCTGTTACCTGGCTCTCGCTGCGCGCGTTGCGTCAAGCTCGCAGAAGCCGCGCGCGCTTCTGGCAATGCGTGTCGAGAGGCCCGCGCGACGTCGGCGTAGGACTGAAATAATCAACGGCTATGTACAAAGAGCCGTACGCTCCTGAAAAATGCAATTCAACGCCTCTCTGGAAGCCATTCGGCCTCCCGCGCGCGTCGTCGCGGCCCAGGGTTTCGTGGGCTTCGTTCGATTTTGCAAACCAAAAAAAAGGCAGCGTTCCGTCGGTTCGCCGATGGCCGCGCGACCCAGAAGAGCTTCTTTGCAGCGCAAGAGCATAAATCCGTCGTCTGCATTTAACTCTTCCCTATCATTTACGCCTCAAAGGTGAATCGGCGTTCGTCGGCAAAAAATCTTTTCGAGGGGACTGCGTCGGGCCCGCGCACGTATCCGGTGTAAAGGAGCGACGGCCCGTATCGGCAGCCACACATGCCCAGTCTGAGACGCCACAGGAATCCGGCACGCGACTCACTCCAACGCTTCTTTGGGCTTTCTTCGAGCTCGAAGCCCCTCTCTTCTTCTTTTTTCTGTCCTTTAATCCGGAAGCATTAAAGTGCGACGACGGAAAAAATCGGGCGCGCGTGACCTCCTCGGCATCTGGTCGCAATCGAGAGGACGGAAAAGTCAATTGGAAGGAGAATACGAAGGCGCGAACGTAAAACTCGTTTATTTTTTTCGGAAACGTGGTTTCCACGAGAAGAGACGCTCGTGTTTAATCCTTCGTTCACAATAATGCACCGGCGGCAGCACTCGCTTCTCACGTCGTCACCCGAGACGCCGGCGCATCCCGAGCAGGTAGGATTTGTCTCTCGGCGCGTCTGGGAAAGACGGGACACCTTATACAGAGCGCCGTAACGATTATACTCGTTCGGCTTTCGGGGCCGCTCGTTCGTGTTGTCACCGAAAAATCACCGAGTTTTTACTCCCTCCTCTGAAAGATCGATTGCTCGGGTGAATCTCCGATTCGCTCCGTCCCGTTATCTACCAAGGAATCAGGGAGATGTTCTTCTTGCTCGGTCACCAGTCATCGATCTTTCAATAACAGATTCGGCACCGATGGGAAACGTATTGGCGAAGGCTGGCTCACCGGATCGCATGCATCGAGGTCGAACGTTGCGCGAAAGCTCCAAGCTCGCGTATAAATCGAATAAAAAAAGCTTGCGTGGCGGAGGAAACATTTCATCTTTCTCTCGGAACACTAAAATTCCGCGAGCAAATCGTAAACGTCCCTGCAGCCCGGCGGATTTCCGAGTGCTCCGAGTGCGCGCGATAAATCCTCGTTGTCGAGGCGCGTGCCGTCGAGGTGCGGCCTACTCCTCCCAGGCGAGGGACCAGCAGCACGTGTTCAGCGGTGCCGGTTTCCGGCCTCGTTCCGAGAGAAAGAGCGAGCGAAACCGAGGCAGAGCCCCGCGAGGAGGGCTCGACGCTCGGCCGAGCGTGATGCTCGCTGCGACGAGGAGCGGGGCAGTCGAAAAGCGAACGGCGGTGCGATCGCGAGGAGGACTTCGACGACGGCGACTGCCTCGCACGATCGATCCCGTTCGCGCGGAGCCGCCGACCGATGAATCGAGTGCGTTTACGCTCGCGACTTTCGCGTGGACTGTTATCGCCACGGGGAGACGCGCGATAGCGACACAGAAGCGCGCCTCAGCGCGAGCGGCTTTCCGCTCTCGGCGGGTACAAAGCGCCCCTCTGTGCGTCGTCCCGCGCGAGGCGAGTGCGCGCAGCGATAACACGCCAACGCGGCCGGGCAAGAGATGCGCGCGCACGCGCATCTCCGATGTCGTCCGCGTTAGCGCACCTGCAATCGGATAGTCGCTCGTAGTCGGGCGGCCGCGGAGTCGGCCCGATAGAGCCTCGCATCGCGACCTCGAGCGGGAGCGTCGTGGGCAACAGACTGCGAACGAGAGATGCGCGCGCGCGTGGCGACGCGACGCGCGCTTCCTGTTGCACGTGCGCCATATGCTTGGGGCAGGAGGGCCGCGGATTCCTTCTCTTTTTTGCATCGTCGCGACGATCGGTCCGCGGAACATCGGCGCCGGCGTCGATCGGGCCGCGATGGCCGTGCACTCGCGACGCTCGGGCCTTTGTGCGAAAGCGAGGCAGCTGGACCGAGAGAAGGAGCCTCGAGAGAGCGTTTCTTCGGCTCTCCGACAATCGATCCTCCTCATCCTGTGCCGCGCGTGGCGGAAGCGACAGCTGCTGGCAACGCGATACTCCGTCTCCTCTGTGTGCGAGACGGAGAGAAAGAGAGAGAGAGAGAGAGAGACAGGAAAAGGCTTTCCTTCGTCGATCTAATTGACGAGCCGCCGTGGCACTTTGTGGCTGAGCCACGCGAGACGGAGAATCATCGTGTCAACCTGCTTTTGTTGCGCTCGCCGACGACTTCAATTCGGTCTTCTACTCTGAATAACTTGGCTATTGCCGAGGAGAGAGGACTTAATCGCACGGGCTTCTGTGTACACGGCTGCTATCTGCTCGTCACTCGTCGACAGTTGTAATTCTCCGTTCCCGAGCGCGAGGTCAATTTAAAGAGCGACAATTTTCGCTATTTCACGAGGCCTCGCTCGCGATAAGGTCGCGCGCGCGCGATACCGAAAGTATTGACAGAGCTCCGTTTCGGGACGCAGCGGCGTCGGCTCGACGAGCGGTTCTTATCGTTGTTTTCTCACTTGCTCGGCAATCGAGCCGTGAGCGCCGCGGAGGAACGCCCGCCGCGATAAAAGGCGCGCGGGCACGCTGGATTTGAATGGCGCCACGCGGTGCCAGGGGAGCCAGCCGACGCAATTGGGCCTTTCCTCCGTGCGTCGGCTTGATTGCCCGTTTACGATTGCATCCGGCCCAGCGCGCGCGCGCCCCCGCGCGGAGAAACAAGTCGGCGATTATGTAGCCGCACATGCGTGTCCGCATTATCGCCGGACTGCCGCGCAGAAGGAGAAAGAAAAACCACTCTCGCGCTCCGCACTGACGTGGCGTTATTTGCACCTCGGCGATAGAGGTGGCTCGGGCTTCCGTTTTTATGAATAATGCCGTTCCCGGCGAGCTTTTGTTTTTCCTCGAGGCGAGCGCGACTGACGTCGTTAACGGGATTCACGCGGCGGTCACGCTCTTTCGAGGCCGCGCGGGGCTCCGCGATTACGCACCGCGCGTCGACCGCTCTCACCTTGATTTCTGCTCGCTCGGTTCACGCGCTCCCCCGGCAAGTGAATCATTGCCGCGGTCGCGACCCGCTCCGGCGGTAGCTGCAATACGGCAGCGTACGCTCCCGCCGAAATTTCGGAAATCTGACTTGCTGATCCCGCCGGCGTTTCGAGCGACACGTACAACTCGGTCACGGAGCGCGCGACCGGGAGCGCGCCGCCGCGCGGCGCGAACGATGCCGCGTAGCGCGGAATAAAAATGACAAACACGATATCGAAGCACATTATGTGTTAAGAGGCGCGAGGCAGGCGAGCATACGAATCGCCGAATGGTTCGTGGCGCATAGCGGAACGCGCAACACTCGGCTCTGGAAAAAGAGTTACGGAGGAATTAGAATTTGATTGGCGCGCGCGAGACTTCCGGAGAGCCTCAGTCTTGTTTCCATCGCGGCCGCACTTTAACGAAGACGCGCGCTCGCCGATGGAAAAGCCGCCTCTTTTCTTACGAGTGGCGTCAGCGCGGCCTATCGCAGCGATAACGCCCCGCATGCCCGACCATCCGACAGAATTACGCGGCCCGTGAGATCCATCGTTTCCGCTTCCATCGATTCGCGCGCTCAACAACGACGACGACGACGACGACGACGACGATGCTGCCGGACGGCGTTTTTGTGCTGTGCGCCGCGCAGAGAGCGGTTTTTCGGTCTGACGCAGAGGAAGTACGCCCCTGTTTCATTTTTCGTCTTTTTTACTCTCTTTCTTTCGGTCTGGAATTTTTACAGAGTTGCAGCGCAGGTTGAGAAACCCTGTTAATTGAATTGGCACACTGCGCTTTTTCGTTCCTCGAAACGGATGAATTAAATGTGTTGCGCTCTTGTGCAAAGCTGGATTGCGAAAAACTGTTAGACTTGTGTGGGCCTCGCAGCTGTAGCGGTGGAAAGGAAATGCATAATCCTTTTTATCGAACGATAGCTCAGTCGAAATTCATCGTGCTGCGATAAACGCCACATTGAACCAGATAGATTCACAGTACCACCCGAGAATTCGAGGACCCTCGAAGATCTCCGATCGAAAGAACCCATTGTAATATGAATTTCAATGCCGTACACGGAGACATCATCCAGCGCCAGCAAAACCAACGGAATCTTTTGTTCGACGAACCGCTCGAACAAAAGGCCAGCCGTGCCAGTAGCAAACAGCGTCAATTTGCCTGTCAATAGACGCAGATTAGCAAAGCCTACGCCGGCGTGAGGCTTCGAAGGCGTGCACGCGCGAACGAACGAGTGACGAAACTCCTACAACGCGGCGCAAAAGGGTCGCGTTTATCCGCGGGGAAGGCGTGGGAAGGGCCGGGGAGGGGGAACTTAAACGACAGCCTCCGAATCACGGCTACTGACCGCTCGGAATGTGCTCGCTGCAGCTCTCTCCCTCTCCTCGAGAGGAAGTGCACGGTCGCGAAAACAAAGCTACAAGTCTTGGGAGCGCGCGCGCGCGAGAGAGAGAGAGAGAGAGTGCGAGCGAGCAGCCTTGGTCCAGTTGCGCCGCGTCAATTAGCCGTCCTAATTCGCTCGATTGCAAGCAGGCGGCTGCGAGCGCTGCATTCCGCACGAGCGCGCGTATCCGATTCGAGTTATCGTCGATCGCCGCGCGCGCGCGCGCGCCAGGATGTTTGCCAATCGGGAAGTATGCGCCGCGGGCCGCGGCGGAAATCGCGCATTACGCGAGTGCGCGATCGATCTTATCACGGTTACGCGAGGCCGGCACCCCGCGGCCTTGTCGCGACGGCCACGCCGGAATCCGAGACGCCGCGTTTTGTCTCCGCGCGCAAAGGAGAAGCGCGGGGTCGTTGAGCTGTGCCGGGTCATCGATACGGGGATCATCCTCGTGGCGAGAGAGAAAGAGAGAGATGGCATGCGGGCCGCGCACGCACACACACGCGCGCGCGCGCGCAATTAGCGGGCAATTGAGTCGAGTGGCGCTTCCTGCTTCCTCCGAGAGAGGCCGAGGAAAAGCCAACTTGTTTATCGAAGCTTGCGATTGATCCGAGTCGTCTGGCTTTCTTCTCAAGCAAGACAACGACGGCGACGACGTCAACGACAAGGGAAGCCGCAGCGCCGTCGGTGGCCCATCGAGCGTTGGTCACCGGCGGGTAGCGAATCTCCCGAGCTCGCGAAGGAGCAGCGGTCGCGCGTGAGCAACTCGGCCGAAGCCTTCGGTCTCCCGTAATGACAGCCTCGTCCTTCCGAAAAAAAGCATCGGCCAGCTCCTTCGCAATTACACGACAAAGGATCTGCCGCGCCGATTGTTTTCGATAATAAAAGTACGCGAAGGACGCGCCCGCGCTCGCTAGAGAGAGAGAGAGAGAGAGAGAGAGAGAAACCGGAAGCACGCGCCGCTGCTGCCCGCAGCACCGCGCCGTAACGGATGTACTGCGCGCACGTACGTACGCAAATCGAGCTCGCGTCGTCGTCGGCGCGCTGCATCGCAGCGGCAAGACAAAAGCTCTCGACCGGGGAAGGGGGCTCGAGCCGAACAGGAGCAAGCCGTCGCGCGTGGGGCAACACCGGTTGAGGAAAGCCCGTGGCAGGCGTTGCGGGCGCGAATCGCGTCGGGCGTCCGCTTCGAGGCTGACCGCGACTGACTTCGCCCGAGCAGCGACGAATCAGTCGGTCCGCGAGGGCCCGCGACAGAGCAGGCTTCGAACGTTTCTCGACGAAGCCGCGTGCCCGAAGGCTCGCGCGACATTGTGCGTCTGCGGAGAACGTGCAATCGCTTGCGTAACGCGCAAACATTCCCTCGGGATGACACACTGGTATATATTTTCGAACGTCGAGTAAAAAGACGCGCCAGACGCGGCAGCAGCAGAAGAAGAAGAAGAAGAAGAGGAAAGAGCGAAGCCGGACACGGAGGGCATGTACGCGCATCGCGACGGCGAGAGAGCACAGCAGCTCGATGCCGTCTGCGTCGCGCCAGATGCTATTTTTTTGTTGTTGTTTTCTGGAAGGTCTGCGAGAGAGGCTCTCGCGCCTGCGACGCCACTCGGGCCGGCGTTCTCACAGTCGCTCGTGGGGGCGTCGTTCCGCTCTCACAAAAAGCCCTCTCGCCGACGAAAGGGCACTTGAGCATTGTGCGCACAGATAGATGTCCAAGCCTTCGTTAACTCGCGCCTCCGCTCTCCGCGTCTTTCGACTTTTCCGAAGTGCGAGCGGCGTCGTTGACGCTCGGTTTCGGGAAAGGCCGCGACGGCGGTGGGGGGACCCGCGGGCCCTCCTGGTTCTCGTGGCTATTGGGTTACCCGCGCAAAACCGCACGCGCGTGAGAAATCGTCCAGCCGCGATCGATCGATCGATCGATCGGTCGATCGATTCCCATGGCAGGACGACGACGCCGCGCTGCGTTTTCAGCTGCGAGATTCCATTCCCGGCAATTGCCGTCGATGCGCGCGACGCTGCTGACGTCGCGCCGCTACTTCGCGCCTACTCCGATTGTCGCCGCTTAACGCGTGCAAAACGCGAGACGCTAACCGGCCCGTCCGACATATGGTTCGTCACTCCCGGACTCGCTACTGCGCGCTTCGCTAATATCCTCGACGCTCCCCGAACGACAGTGTCCGAACCGCTCGGCAATCGGTCCGCCCGCATTGAGCCAAATTCCGGAAAGTAAGTGGTCGGAAATTCGAGCGAAACCGTGCTCGTTTATCCCTCGATGGCCGATTTTCGCGTTTTTAGTCAGGGGAAACAAACGGGAGAAAGACAAAGCGACAGCCTGATCATTTCGGCCTCGGGGGGTGGCGCCCGGGGGTTGCGGGCTCGGTTCGGGCATCACGTACGACTGACCTGCTGTGGCGCTTGATCCGCAGGCGAGACGAAGCTGGAGAGCGCCGTGAGCGGTGCCAGGGAGGCGCACGACGACGCCCTGGACGGCGGCGGCGTGTGCCCCGGACTGGGACTGCCGCAGCTGCTCGCGCCGCCGCTGGACGCCAGGCTCACGCTGTCCGCGCGGCCGCGCCAAGGCGACACCGACACGTGCTTCAGCATCCTCCACGTCTGCCTGACAACCAGACGTTTTCAGTGAGACGTGTGCGTGCGCACGTGTGTGTGTGTGTGTGGAAACGCGCGTATTGCTTGAAGAGGCTCCTAGAGTGGCACGAGGGCTTTCTCGCGACGAGCTTGTCTCTTCTTTTTTTTAATTGGAGTCGCGCTCTGACGGGTCGCGCTCCCTCTGCAGCACGGCGATCCGCTGCAAGCTGCCTCTGTCTTATTTTACTCCGTGGTCGTTTGCTTTCGTCTTTACGAAAGCCCGGCGGCTGCGATAGCTGCACACCATTCCCGACCGTTTATTTTGAGAGGCTTTTAACGATTGATTCTACTACGACCGCGTGACATTATTACAGAATTCATTGGCATGACAGCGGGCTGCGTTCGCTACGGACGCGATGGAATTAGAATGGATATGAAGCGCGAACGGTTTAGCGAAAGTTGTGTTTTGTCTGATAAACGAATTGACTTTATGGCAATAGTCAACGTGACTTTTACGATGAGTAAGCCGATGAGCAATTTGTAAAACATTTCTTGGATAAATCTCATGGCAACGCAGACAGCGAATGTTATTGCAAGCATAAGTAATTATGACTAATATCCAAGTATTATCATTATCGCGTCGCCGTTCACAATAAAACTTTCCAGTTTGGCATTTATCGATTACTTCTTTGTGAATGATTCGCGCGGATTTCGTTCGTCACGCACCAATCGTCTGTTTATCAGCTTCGTTCATGCCAGTCTACGGAATCAGTAGAGAGCAGAGAGAGAGAGAGAGAGAGAGAGAGAGAGAGAGAGAGAAAGTTCGTTTACGGCGGACGTGTAAACACAAAGTTCCCGTTCGGAACGTTTCCTCCGGCACGGCAAAGGCTGCGCTGCCCCGCGCGTAGAGCAAGAGGCATCCCGGTGGGCGCGATCGTCTCGAAGACTCGTCTAGCCGCCCGCGGCAGCCCAGCCGAGCTGAAAGGAAAAACAAGGCCGCGCGCATCGGCACGCTTGGGAGAGTGGCCGACGACCTTTGGATCGATGCACGTGGGACACTTACCGCTTGCGCGTCTGCGAGCCGCGTAGGGGCACAGGTCGACGGTTTTCACTTCACACAAGCCTGGTCGGCCACGGCAGGGCGCGGAGGCGCACGGCGAAACAAACACAATCCCCGCGCGACGAGCGAGTCTTGCTGCTGCGCACAGTCCGAGGGTACAGGCAAGAGACGAGCGAACCGCGCGCGCGTAGCGCTGTGCCACGACTGAGTGCGCGCGCGGCGAGCGAGAAGCGCGGCGTCGAGGACGGAACGGCAGGAGGGGGAGCAAGGAGAGCGACCTTCCTGTGCGCGGCGCGTGGGGGCGGCCACGCAGCACCGCCGCGGAGTCTGCACGGCGATGGCGAGTCTGCCAGGGGGACAAGCCCTTGTGCCGTCTCCGCGGCTTCGCTTCGTCGTTCCTCCCGCGGCGCGCGAACGCTCGCGTCGAGTTATCGGCCTGGCTAATTTTCGGCCGCTCCGTGCTCCTCCCGCTCTCTCCCGAATTCCTTGGAGTTCGCGAGTACTCGGCATCAAGATCTACCGCGCCAAGCGTCGCGAGCTTTCTCTAGTACGAGACGACAACTCGTCGCGAGAAATCAACGAAGCAAAGGCGTCGAAAGAGATTCTTTTCTCCTCGCTCGCCACTAATCGATTGAAATGTCGGAGAAGCTGATGTGAAATGCACTCGGATCTCCATTCCTCGTTCTACATAAGACTGAGTAGCTCTCCTCTCTTTGATTGTAACAACTGGAAGTCGCTTCTACGAAACTTTTCGACTGCTCAAAATGAGAAAAACAAGTGTCGTAAAGTCGGAAACGAAGATAGATATGTTAATAGAGCACAAAAGCCGCGGCATCGAAGGGATTATAGAATCAGGATTTCTCGTCTACCTGCGCGTGTCTGAATGAGATACTGCTGCTGACGGGGATCGGGAGAGAGTCACGCGGTGCCTCGCGCATTTTTATAAGTATAGACTGCAGCACCAGCAGTAGCAGCAGCAGCAGCAGCAACAGCAGCAGCAGCAGCAGTGACTCCGATCGAATAAAAACACACACACATAACGACGAAGGGAAATTCCCATAGTATTTACTCATGTTTCTCACACGTTTACTCTTCGCACGTGGACGTCATTCGGTAATAGCCGATCGAGAGTGCTTCCTCTCCTCAGGTATTCAACGCGACGCCCCGACGAACCGCGCAATCTGCATGCGAGGCTCTCGGTAGACGCGCGACGTCGCGCGAGAACACCTCCGCTTCGGGTTTTCTCAGAGTGCCAGCCGAAAGATCGAACAATGGCCCGCGCGCGCAGTCGATATATACCTGACTTTTCTCACAGGCGGAATAATGGCCAGCCGATTTTCGTCGATCTCTCTCTCTCTCTCTCTCTCTCTCTCTCTCTCTCTCTCTCTCTCTCTCGTGCCTCTCCATTATGAGAAAAAATTACGCCTACTGCGCGCGCGAGAGGCTGTGTGCGTGGGAGAGTTTTTCGAGAGAGAGAGAGAGAGAAAATCGGCGACTCAGCCATGGGAAAGCTGAAACCACGCGCGAAACTTTCCGCGCGACGACTGATTTATAATTGACGCGGCGCTCGCACATCCTCGCGAGTTATTGCCAATTAGCCCGACGAAAGCGAGATCGACCTAGATTTTTGTCGCCGCGGCAAGCAGGGGAATAATGGATTTCGCGGGAATCCCGAGGTGAAACGAGCGCGCGAGAGGATGAGGGGGAGGAGGCCAGATACCCGCGAGGAATTCCAAAATTACAGGCCTCTCTAGCTTTCGCGTCGGAGGAAGAAGAAGAGTGGATCCTTGCCGCGGGACGCTGACGACTTCCTGAATGGAGTGGTTCCGCGCCTATAGTCGCTTTGTCGAGCGACAAATTGTCCGATGTACATTGTCCTCGGGGGAGATTAATGTCCCGTCTCACTGGAATTCGGACGTGTAGCTTTTTCAAACGCAGTCGCGGCTGCTGCTGCACGCGCTCGGCGCTCAGACTTTAAGAGGATGCGTCCGGCGAGCACTCTCTTATGTGTGCACTTTGAAAGTGGACTCAAAGTCCATTACTTGAATCTTGAATTCCAATTGGATATTCATTAAAGTCACAGCGCTTCTGCTGATTTTACTTTGGCTTTGACATTTTTCATTCCCAAAGTGATATTCTTTTAATTGCTACCGTCACAGTTGTCGTTCATTGGGGCTTCGAAACGAATGCTAAATGATCCGTAAAATTAATAAAAAAAATTAGAGCAAATTTATTTAATTTTATAAATTTTATTTATAAAATTAAATAATTTATTTAATTTTATTAAAAAAAATGAGAGCGAGCCGCAGATCTGCGGCATTCGCGAACAGAAGAGTCGGTTATCAAGCTGCCGCAGGAAACCAAAGTTATCACCTCGAGATTCACGCAAAATAAATTTGGACAGAGCGCGCGCCTCACGCGGGGCACGTAACGCGTGCGAGGCGAGGCTTAGCACGAACCGACGCATTACCGCGAAGCCGCCGGGAATATCAGCCCCGAGAATCAATAAACGAGCTGCTCGTAGAAAGACGAAGCGAATTCGTCCGGCGAATAAATTCAAAGTTCGGCCGTGGCGGGTCAAAGACCGCGAAGCGCGCGCGTGCGGACAAGGGGGCTCCTTCATCTGGCTCTCGGCGGAAAATTCAATTGGACGCAGGCGCGCGATTTGCAAGCCAATCGCGGAATGCGATCGTAGCGTCGCGGAAACGCTGGGGCACAATGCGCTCCGTGGCGCGGGGGGAGGAGGCAGTTCGTCCACGTAAAGAGCTTTCCCACGTGCACGCCCACGCGCAACACCTGCGTTGCCCGATCGCCGGCAGAAACAGCTGCTATGCATTCGACGCTTCGACGGCTCTGCGCGCTGCTGGTGGCATAGTCGGTCGGTCGGTCGGTCGCCAGAGTCGGTTCGATCACGCATGGTAGCATCCAAGTTGTGTGCATCGCGGCACCATTATTATTAATCAACGGTTCGTTCACGAGACTCGGTGTCATCTCTTTCTCTCTCTCTCTCTCCCTCCCTTGATTTGGCTAGCGTGTAATCATCTCCTCTCCCGAGCGCCGCATTCCACTTTATTCGCTCGTCTCGGCAACGAAGAAAAGAAAAGAAAATTCATCGCTAGTTACACAATTGCCCCGCGCAACGCAGCGCGCCAAGTATGGTCATGCAAAGCATCGCACACACGCGCGATCTTTTGCGCACGCGAAGAAGAAAGGGAGCGAGAGAGGATGCGCGCGTCTCACCTTGCAAACCTGTCCCCCCCGGTCTCTAGCGTGAGAGAGAGAGAGAGAGAGAGAGGGAGAGAGACGGGGATCTTTAAACTTCCATGCGGTCGGCTGCCGATGAAATTAATTCTTCACCGCAGAGCGCGACCCTCTTTGTTCGTCCTTGCCTCCCTTAACTCGAGCACAATACCGCAGCTCTGCCCAATTATTTTTTTTCCTCTCTTCGTTTTTTCTTTCTCTCCGTTACGGCGTGCGTACAGCGAGATTCCCGAGAGCGCGCTCACGCTATGCGTGTACGTCGCTGTGAGATGGCGATGATGTCTTTGATGCTTCCACTGGTCTTTCGTCTTTATTTTTTCAATGATTGGTCCTTTTAAAGTATTTTCAAATACCATCCCATTGGGACTTGACACTTCTTTGCTCATCGTCATGTCCAAACTAAATTAATATCTTACGATTCGTCAACATTCGATTTAAAATGATTGTAGAGCAGCCACCTCTAATTTGAGCATTTTGAAAGCGCAAGGAAATGGCCGCATGTTATTTTCTTTTACGTCAAGTTGCACAAGACGATCCCATTGTAATCTCGAGTGAGGATGAGTTGGATTTACGTGCTGATGTTAAAAACGGGCTGCAAGCTCGGTGATAGAGGTAATTTTACAGATCGCTCGCGCTCGCGATAGACGCTTCTTGTTATCTTTTTTTTCTTCCGCGCGCAGCGCTACGTCAATTACGACGTTCGGGCTTCCGAAGGCAATAATCGCGCGTGAGCCGTGATTTTGTAGCCTTTTTAACACCGCGGACCTGGTACTTTTTATCGGGACGGAAGCAGAAGGGGGCTACCGAGGAGATAAAAGCCAGCCAGGCGCATCGGGAATTTTATCGACGAACCGATTAGCCGTGAGCGGGGCTTCCGGCAACGGCGCGCGCCTCCGGAAATCTCGAGCTGCATTCGATGAGGGAATTAAGCGCCGTCGCCTCGCTCGCTTTCCCTTCGATTTCCTCTATCGGGCTCTTTCGAGCACGTGCACCGTACGATAAGCCCTTCCGCGCGACGTTCGACTCGCCGATGTCGCGTTGCCGCCGCGCTGCCGGGAGCGGGAGAGCCGCGCGTGTCTTGTGTTTCGCGAGCTGCAATCGGGGCGTAACGCTGCGGATGGGGTTACCGTCTATCGCTCGCCAAGCTCGTTTCGCACGAGTTCTCGCGCGACGGCCTCTTGCGCAATCTCGCGCGCTCTGATTTACGAGGCGCCCCGCGGTCTTCCCTTTGAGACTCGAGTGGACGGGCATAATTGGAAATGACATCTTTCGATTCGCCACGGCTCTCGGTGGTTTCGCCGACGAAGAAAAAGGTGTTGAGTTCCCGGCTACCTATTCCGACCATCTCATAACCAACGCTTATTTATGGCTGCTGTTCTACGATGTGTTTCTCGTTTTTTTACACCCAATCTACCAGATTGTACTTCTTTCGCAGACCGTAATAAAATACCTTTTTGATCATTCTTTATCTGTTCGGCATTGTTTTCGAAAATAGGCTCATGAATAAATGTATATCAGCGACGAGAGATGGGCAAACGTGAGAACCGAGAGGTGATCATGGGTTTTTTTGAGTGCACAGCTATCATAGATCACACATTAAATATTTGCGATGTTTAATGGTCTCCAAACACAAGAGGGAGAAACAGCGTACAGATAAAGAGAGAAGAAAAGAAGATACAGTGATTTTCTTTCGTCGCACTTTTATACATCTCACTATCTTTCTCTCTCTCTCTCTCTCTCTCTCTCTCTCTCTCTCTCTCTCTATCTCCTTCGTCGGACACGGGATTAGGAAAAATTTGAAACGACACAGCGAGCGAGGTAAGCCTCAACCAAAAATTCTTCTCCGCTGCCTGTCCTCGAGGCTCGCTATCCGCGTTCGTACAGATGCGGGCTGCGCGAAACTTTCTCTCTCGCGCGTGCGTGGCTGCAGCCG